TTAGCTGGGCGTATAGAGACCCTGTTCTTTTAGTCTTATCCTGAAATTTTTATCAGGCCCACAGCAAAGCAATCTCTTGCTTATCTTTCTTATTCTCCAGTCTCCCACGTCATCAGAGGAATAGTTTTGCCTCAGATTGGTTCTTCCTGCTGAAAATTTAGGTGGGTGGTAGAGCCAGAAGGGACAAGTTCACAGTGACTTGAGTTTAGGGATGTGCGACTTTATTTTGCTGAGTATCCTCCGTCCTAGGAACTGACTGAATTATTTCACTTAATTCTCCCGGCAGTCTTGGGAAATAGACACTGTCACCTGTGTGTTGAAATGTTAAGTAACTTGACCAGGTTCTTGGGGTTAGCATGCCCAGAGCAGGTGCCACCCTTATCTATTCTATCAGACACCACAGCTACATTTGAACTGTGTGTTAGATTTCTAGAAAGACATGAAAATTATCCATATCAAAATACTTCTATCATGAAAGGTGACTACAATATCAGAAGGAAAGTAAGCTCTCATTTTACTTTTAGAGGACGAGTACAAGGATATAAATGCATAAACATTTTTTTCTTGACTCTTCTCTGTAAAGAAGCTTTAATATCCTTAAAAACTGGCAGCAGAATGTGAATCCCCCTTCTCCGCCTTAATATTATATACAGGGTACTGTGTAGTACATTTCCGACATAGAGTTCGGGTGCTAAAAGTTTTCAAAAGGCTAGGGGACTAACGTTTCTGTCTTCTGAAGTTCACGTAAGCGACAGAGGCTAATATGTATGTCTGTATTTCTCTTGTCTTCTCTCCTCGTCCTTACCCTTCTCTTTTCTTCCTTAAGTTTCATAAAAATATTGTATCTTGGGTTTTCATAACAAGGAGTGAAGTGCAAAGTATGATGTGAACATCTTTGGGCCTGAAAAAGATTGATTTACATTCTCTACTCATTTCAAGTGTTGTTTTGAAGTATTCTCTGCAGCCCTTTAATTGTAATTCATGATCTTTCTTTGAAGATGAAACCTAAGGCTTTATCCTCAGGACTTTTCAAATTTATCTCCTAACCTAGTATAAATTTAGTGTCTATTTTCCCCCTCCCATTTTTCTTTTAAGTAATTGTCCATAGAAGATAACCATCTCTGAAATTCTTCAAGAGATTTCAGATGGAAATTTTATTCATCCAGATAAAAAATTAAATAACAGATTTGGTTACAAATTAATAGATCTTAAGAAGGAAGGGCATTTGTGGGAACTGATCTCTCTAGCTCTCATCTGAAAACTCTTCCAGAAGAGAAGGTCTGGTTATATCTAGAATAATGGTCTGATTGGAAGGAATTAATATGCACGTAGGTTTGCAGAGCTAAATGATTCAGAAAGGTCGCCACATAAAATATTGCTATATGTGTCTGAAGCGCACTTATTTTCTGTTTAGTTAATACAGAAGGTTTAGATACATAGCTGTTTTCATATCATTTGATAAAACACTTACCAAATGCCAGTTGTGTGTAAAGATACTTTACTAGGTTCTGTGCCAAATACAAGGTTAAGTGTTATGCAATCGATTGGGACAGGTGAGTAATTTATTATAATTATAACACAACATACAGTGATATACATTGAGATTATAAAACTGTGGGTGAGCGGAGAAGAAGTGATTATGTGTTGGTGCAGTCATCACAACCCGTGGGCTAAAGTATAAAGCACTTCTAATAAGATTTCTTTTAATACTACACGCCAAGTGATTCATTTAATCAGTCATTCATAAATGCTCTATTTACTTTCTAAGTCTTAGTTAATTTTTCCATTTCCATAAGTAGTTTTCGTTTGTACTTTCAAGTAGGAGATATTCTTACCACTCATGTAACAATTGCATTTTTTTTTCTTCTGGAATTAAAATGAAATTGCCTGGAACATAGTAGACTTACTTCATAAGCTACATCTTTGGAACCTTTAAGGCTACTATACTTAGAGTTCAGCATAGCTTAAAAGGTAGAGTACCTATGAAAAGTATGGTGAGTCAGGTGAATTTTCATTGACTTATAAATATCCTATATAGCTTCTTACAGAAAAGGAACTGGCCCTCTGAGCTCTATTATTAGACTCTACCTTAGAATAGACCCAGGGAACTTGGGTCAACAGAGAACATCCAGTTGTCCTAGATTCATAGAAGTTTCCATTTGAAAGAGACCTTGAGGCTTTCCTCATTTAACCCCTCAGTTCAAGGACATTGAGACTTAGAAATGATAGAAGATGTTAGGAGATCAGTTTGTGATCTTTATACAGTAGACCTTCTGTAAGTTGGCCACCAAAGGGACTGTAACAACCTGGCCAACCTACAGAGGTAGTCAACATTAGGCCTGCTGTACCACATGTACCTATGGTGCATGTCCGGTCTAGGAAAATTAGGTCAATTTAGGGAGGTGTCAACTATGGAGGTTCTCCTGTACTTTGGAGAGATCTTGGAATTGATAGATTCGTGTTACTATTTTTGTTATTTCTCTTATGAATTTAAAATGATATCTTCATTTGCTATTTTGAATCTCTCCAGCCATTAAGAATAGTGATATAAACAAGATAACAGATAACTTGAAACAACATGAGTGGCTTTTTATATTTGTAGTTATTTTGATTCAGATTATTTGCACCTGACTCGATCTGCTTTTCTGTAGACCCCCACTGCTCGGTTAATGATGGTGAACATGATGATCGATAGCAAAATGAAGTAGGAAAATGTGACCAAACAAATCTGAGCACTTACTTAATGAAAAGTATGTCTTTGAAGCAGATACCAGGTTTTTTTTTTAATCATAAGTCAGTTTTATATTGTAAAAAACAGAATTATATGTATTAGTATCAAATAGGGATGATCATTATGTTTTTCCTGAATTACATTGGGTTCAGAATGTGTATACAGAATTCTTGTGACTTTGGTCCATTCTTTCTTGTTATAGTTTGTGTGAGAGAAGTAATCATATTTTTTCCCATTGTCAATTTTTATGGTAACACAAAAATACCATTTATTTCTGATGACACAAGCCCACACACATAATAAAAAGAAACTAACTCCGACTAATGGAAGTGTGTGGCGAGCACATACTTGGGGTCGGTGAGGCCAAATTTTACAAGGACTCTGGATCTCTCCTTGCAGGTACATGTTGGGACTTGCGGCAATTCCAGCCGTCATACAGTTTCTTGGCTTTCTCTTTCTGCCTGAAAGTCCTCGATGGCTTATTCAGAAGGGACAAACTCAGAAGGCCCGAAGAATTTTATCTCAGATGCGCGGTAACCAGACCATCGATGAGGAATATGATAGCATCAAAAACAACATTGAAGAAGAGGAAAAAGAGGTTGGCTCAGGTATGTGGATTTCTGATGTACACGAATTTTTAGAGCTTTCATTTAGAAGTTATATTTTTAGCACTATTGCTGATCGATGTAATGGTTTATGCAGGTAACCAAACCAAGATATTTTAATTTTGAAAGTAATATAAAATGGAAAAAAAACCAAACCCATATTACTACTGTCCAAACTGTAGTGTATTTGGTTTTGTATTTTTATAGTCTTTTGTTCTTTCTGAATTAGATATACTTGACGTTGTCATCTTCATATTATATATATGAGCTTATTTTTGGAGTATGTACATGTATTCATATATGAAAGCCTTAGATATGTAATTACATATGTATTATTGACCTTCCATATTAATTTAATAAATCATAATGTGAACTCTTGTCAACATTTATAACCTTAGTAAAAAATGTAAATGCCTTCTTTACATGTGTTGCCTTAATTTTCACACTAAAGTTTATAAAGAATCACGAACACCTTCATGTACTAGTTTGGGGATGATTTTGTGTTTCCTTCTTTTCATTAAAATGTTTAACCACATATTTAATTCAGAATTTCACCACATCAGAAAACAAAAATAAGAAAGTTCCCGGTCAGTTTAAGTTGATGAATTTCTTTGGGGGGAAGAAATCATGTACAGATTCACAAAAAAGTCGGAGGCAGGATCTGTACTCTTGGCAGTCTGATTGGGTGATTTACAGGAAGGAGGTGACAGGAAAAGGCTGAAATTTTAAAATATTTTTTGCAACAGCGACAGCCTGCTCAGTTCATGTTTCCCAAATGGTCTCACGTTCTCTTGACCTCCCTTCTGCCTGTGTGTTAATCGGTAGCTCAGTTGGAGATGCTGATTCATGTCGGCCAAATCATTTTTTGTACCTGAACATATCCAAACACATGTACACCCCCTTCTTGGTGCTTTTCAGGTGCAAGTGTTATAAGCCTCGTCCATTTACCTCCTTCTCCTGTTTTTGGTGGAGATGAACGTGGCTGCCTTCATGAAACAACAGAACACTCTGCAGACGTTGTTCCTGTTAGCTGCACGTGGTGTGACTTGACCTTACCTACGTGCACAGTAACATATGACACTCTGACCTTCCTGCCTGAACCAAAGCCCCAACTACCTGTCAGCTCATTCTGCGTGAAGGTCATTTTTATTTTAACATTTTTCAAGCATTATTGGATGTTTGGCCATATCAACATTTCCAGAGTAATATTAGGACAAAGATGAAGGACAATTTTGCTTCAACAAAATAATTTACTTTTACTGAGTTCAACAGTGTGTTAAACTTTTTTTAAAAATGCTATTTTAAAACAGCTTCTTAAATGACAAAAATAACTTCTTCTTTTACACTTGTTAAGTTCCTCCTCTTCTCAGTAGCTTGAACGGAATGTGAATTTGCTCTTATAATAGTCAGTGTGCTTTGAAATTCATGTGCTAATAATTCATGTGTGAGTGGAAAACTTTTCAGAGGATTAGAAAAATTATATTAAATGCTGTTTAGAAACCATTTTAATTAATTTATGTAAAGGATAAGGCAGTTTAATAAAAAGAAGTCATTCTTGTATAGGGGAAAGGGTATTACTGATTTTACTACACAGTGTTAAGCACATATAATTTGTGCTGCTTCAAAGTATGTTTGACTAGTCTGGCCTAGCAGTTATTGACAGTGTACTCTGCTTTTTATGTTTTTGACTATTAGTTTTATAACTAATAGTTTTTGACTCGCAGTTTTATGACTGTTTGGAACGTGTAATCGAATGAATTTTTTAGGAATCTGCGGCACGTAGGATTGTAGTTACCTACATGTGCTATCAGAAGTCTTCGTAAGCTAAATAAGGCTCGCCACATTTCTCTATTTCCCAGTTTTTATATACATTTGGCACAGATTTTAAAAAATACTTTAATGTGGCTTGGTGCAGTGGCTCACATCTGAATTCCTAGCACTCTGGCAGGCTGAGGCACAGGGACTGCTTGAGGCCAGGAGTTCAAGACCAACCTGAGCACAAGTGAGACACTGTCTGTACCCAAAATAGGAAAAATTAGCTGGTGTGACTAGACCTTACCTGTGTCAGGTTTTGTGCCTGCAGTCTCAGCTACTCAGGAGGCTGAGGCAGGAGGATTGCCTGAGCCCAGGAGTTTGAGGTTGCCGTGACATATGATGACACTGCTGCACTCTAGCCTGGGGCCACAGAGTTAGACTCTGTCTCAACAAAAAAGTATAATATTAGCCATAGAATTTTAATAACATTTGTCTAATGAGTAGGTATGTATTCTAAACTTTAGAACCAGTGGGATTAATAATTTTTCATTTTTGGATTTGCATTATTTGAAGTACTATCATCTGCTTAATTTAAAAGCTAAACTCATGTTCTTTTAAAAAGGACACAGTTAAGAGCATTATGGTATGAATGCATGCAGACAGATTTGCCAGTATCGCATGGCACCAGGGATTTGGGACCTCACTCTTATGATTAAGAAATTTGACCATAGTCGGGTGGGGGAATGAGGGACAGAGAGAAGGGAGGAGGGGGGAGGGGGGTGTCATGGCATATGGGACACCTCCTGGGAGGGCGGGACACAACTATAAGAGGGACTTTACCTAACAAATTTAAACAGTGTAAGCTAATTCTTTGTACCCCCAATGCACCTGAAACAATAGAATAAACAGATAAATAAAAATAACGCTAGAAAAAAATAATATAATAGGAAACTTGACCATAGTAAAACATGGTCTGCAGAAATAAGAATTTTATATCAGCATTGTAATGCCCGGGAGCATTATGAACTGTGCCAGTTCAGTTGGAAAACAGAGACCAGTGCAGGGACTTATATTAACAAACCTGCATGGTCTCAGCCCTCCTCAAGAATGACAGGCTAGGCTTGGCACCCCTGGTCCGTTGGTTATGGCGCCAGCCACATACACTGAGGCTGGTGGGTTGAAACCCGGCTCGGGCCAGCTAAACAACAATAACAACTGCAACAATTTTAAAAATGCTGACTTTACCCAGTTATGTACTGCTATAAGAAACTCACTTTAGTCTCGGTGCCCATAGCACAGTGGTTATGGTGCCAGCCACATACACCGAGGCTGGTGGGTTTGAACCCAGCCTGGGGCAGATAAACAATAATGACAACTACAACAAAAAAAATAGCCGGGCGTTGTGGCAGGCACCTGTGGTCCCAGCTACTTGGGAGGCTGAGACAAGAGAATTGCTTGAGCCCAAGAGTTTGAGGTTACCATAAGCTGTGATGCCATGGCACTCTACCAAGGGCGACATACTGAGACTCTGTCTCAGAAAAAGAAAAGAATGATAGACTAGGTGAACAAATGCACATGAAGAAATAGTTAACTTCAAGCTAATAAGAATGTTCTCACCCAGAAAAGATGAGTCAGCCATTGTGTTGGAGGATTGGGGAATGGCTTGTTAATCTGACCATGGATCCTGAGGAGAGGGATTTTGACCCATGACGTCAGCCCTGGGAACTGTGGTCAGTGGAGTGCAGCTGTCTGGAGGGAAGGTCCTTGACCTAAGCTCCACAAATGGTTCGCCTGTTCCAGGAGATTAGAAAGCAGTTATTTAAGACACCTGATTTCTTACAAGGAGGAACGCCTTCTTAGACATGGTGGCTTAGGTACCATTACTGTTGAACCTGCATGTTAAATGGCTTGGAGTCCAGATCAGTAAACCTTGTCTTGTCTGGGAATTTCCCAGTGGATTTATGACTTGTGGCTGTCAGTGGTTCTTGCTTATGCCAGCCTTCTCTTTTCACAGATTGTTTATTTCTTTGGTCACTTGAGTGTAAACTTGTTCTCTTGGAGGAAAATTGGCATAGCTACTGAAATATGTCTTAGCTTCCTTAATTTATTCTTTGGATAGGTGAGATGCCAGTCCATAGGGCATTTACTAAAACCACACTTTATGTCATGAGTATGGCAGTCACCCTGTCCGTGTCAGCAGCAGGCTGGGGCTTCCAGGCCACACCACGCTGTGGAATGGGATCGGGTGGTGGTGGAATCCCATCTCTTCTGCCCACAGCGTTGGATGTATCAGACTCCTTAGCACGGCATAGAGCGTCTTCTGTGTTTCCTCCACTGTAGTCGTCAAAACAACAACAAACAGGCAGTTCACGGGGAAAGCAGCAAACATTCGGTCTCCACGTGTGCTCAACACTATTTATACGTCCTGTAGGAATAATAAAGCGAGACTAGAAGAAACAACAGGTTGGTTTGGAAAGCTCCCTGGTGTGGGAGACGGGGAGTTGGACGACTATTCCTGACTCAACCCCAAGCTCGCGATTCTAAGAGGATCTGGAGAGAACTGTTGGGCTTCAGTTTCTTTTTAGGTTTGTAAGAAAAGAAGAGCCAGATTATAATAGCTCCAAGTGCTGACTTTTTTTTTTTTTTAAGAATTTTAAAAGTCTGCTTTCTCTTTATTTCTGAATGCTGTGCAGCACCCTTTCATTCAAAAGTACTGAGTGACGTTCGGTAGAAGCGGAGATGCCGCAATGAATGAGGCTTTGTTCCCTTCTGATAGGAGGAGACACACACATGATGAAAGAGTCAGTACTTACCACGTAACTACAAAATGTGGCAATGGCTTTGAAAAACAATACATAGGTTAACACAGTACTTACTGAGGGACTAAAGAGGGGTGACTTTCAATGGGACAGTTAGGAAAACCTCTCTGGAGAGGTGAACGTGGAAGGCAGAAGGAATCAGCAGTACAGAGATAAGAAGGAGGAGTGTTCCAGGCAGAGCGAGCAAGAGTGTGAATTTGTTTGTATTACAAAGTGTTGTAACCTGTAAAGACCAGGTTATATTTTTTGAACGTTTTGATAATAGTTGTAAAGTGTACATGAACCAGATTTTGAAGACACTGCAGTAAGAATTAACTGCACATCTTACTCAGGTCACCATGCCTAAGCTTTAAGTGACTGGGACACAATTACTCGTCTAAGTCCTGAAAGCACATCCGAATGCGAGGTAATATCAGCACCCTTCCCATC